GTAGTAATTTAGAAACAAAGTAATTTTAAAGTGAAATTTTAACGAAAAAAATAAAGTTGTTGTAAAATTTTAACGAAAAAAATAAGACCGTCAAACGATTTATTAATTAACTGCCGTATATACATTTTTTGTCAAATGAGTCAATGAACAAATTGATAGAACAGGCAGTTTTGATAGAAAAGTAAGATTATTATAATTATATTATCAGCTCAATTCTCAATTTATCTTAATGTCAACGCTTAATTAAATTTCACATATCAAATTGACAGTTGAATTGACCACCGACACAACTAGCGCCATCTACATTTAACTTTTCAGATTCATTACCGTGTAAAGCGTTATTACTTTTGAATGTTGTCTTAAAATACTATCTATATTATCTACGTTACCGCAACACTAGAACAGTCTGTTGTAATTGAACGATCGACTTGAGCCAGAATCAGTTGCTGTCAGTATCTGATGGCGGTTTGATGAGACCCTGCGCGTACGCATACTGGATGCTCTCACACACAAACTTGTATTGACTCTGTTGACAAACATTTAAGTAATTAATTAAAATTCATTCACCATATACAATTAAATTTACATGTACGCTATATTTATCTCTCTGAAATATCAGCTATATAACGCACTGTTAGTTAAGTATATAAATAATTGACTAATTTTTGTTTGACTGTCCGTTGGGTCGATCATTGGAGAATATTAAAAATGTATTATATTTATTCATTAAAAAAACCAACAGCTAAAACATGGTTGAGATAAATAATAAATTAAGCCAATAACAGGTTTCCATAGATATTAACAATACCATCAAAAGTTTTTCAGTAATCAACTATATTAAAAAATATATATTTAAAAAATGGTCATATTTACTGAACTTTATATAAATATCAAGTATTTGAAATAATCAATTAACGTTTATCAGAAAACGAACACCTTTTGTATTGTACATACTAAGAAGTCTTAGTAATAGGGTTGTTACTAAGACTTCCGTAAAAATTAATGAAAAATGAACCCAAATAATTGAATATACTGCCGAAAGTCACTATTCCACGAGGACGAAGTTGCGGGCACAGCTGGTTTAGTTATAAAATACTAACTATCTGCCAGCGGCTTCCTATCATTTCTAAACTAGTTAACCCGACAGATGTTGTCCTGTCTTAATTATGAATATTGATTTCAAACTGTTTTTTACATCCTCTGACGATATTTGCAGCATGCATTCTGTCAATTTTATGTCAAATGTCGTAAAGTTATGTTAACTCAAAAAGTTTATATTACCCAAACCACTAAGGTCACATTAGAGATGATTTTTTTCTGTGGATAAATATTCTTAAATTTCCAAATTTTCCGCATGATTATACTTTTTTTTTCATAAGTATTTGCTCCTGACAATAACAAATACAACAAAAAAAAAAATGCGACATCAGTCCAGCCGTTCATGTGTGATGGCGTGACTAAGGGAAATAAGGATTCATTTTTATATACCTTCTTGTGTGGGCCACAGAACTGGACCATACTGCGATCGCCAACCCGCTTGCCCAGCGTGGCGATTATGGGCATATCCCCCAAATGCAAAGGCACAAAAGGCCACGGCCCCTAGTTCCCGGCGGCCTCGCTATTCCTGGTCATGGTGGCGACCATGGTAACGGCGAGGCAGGGGGTGCTAAGAATCTCCGGGCTACGGGAGGCCACCACAACCGACTGACCCTGGCGACGTACAACGGACGCACGCTACGGCTTGACTCGCATCTGGCTCAACTTGAGGTGGAGCTTGGGAAGATTAGGTGGCACATACTGGGATTGTGTGAAGTCCGAAGAGAGGGGGAGGATACCATAACCCTCGAATCAGGCCACCTAATGTACTTCCGCGAGGGAGACCAACAATCCCAAGGTGGCGTTGGGTTTCTTGTCAATAAGTCCCTTTCTGACAACGGTTGTAGAAATTTCCAGTGTATCGAACAGGGTGGCGTACCTGATTGTAAAGCTCACTGAGAGGTATAGCCTCAAGGTTGTTCAAGTGTACGCACCGACCTCGACACAGTCGGACGATGAAGTGGAGAATATGTACGATGATATATCGAGGGCACTCCACTTCACTACTAAGACCCACTACAGTGTTGTTATGGGGGACTTTAACGCTAAAGTGGGAGTACAAAATTGCGGCGAATCGGTAGTAGGATCCCATGAATTTGGAAGCAGGAATGATAGGGGGCAAATGCTCGTTAACTTCCTCGAACGGGAGGGGCTCTTCCTTATGAACTCGTTCTTTAAGAAACAGCCCCAAAGGAAGTGGACGTGGCAAAGCCCCGACAATGTGACAAAAAATGAGATCGACTTCATTATAACGGACAAAAAGCACGTATTCAGAGATGTCTCCGTGATCAATAGGTTTAACACCGGCAGCGATCACCGACTTGTCCGAGGCTCTCTGAATATCGACTTCAAAGCTGAACGTGTCCGCTTGATGAAGGCCAGGCTCCGACCTACTCCTCTCCAAACCATGATGGAATCTGAAACGTTTCAGTCAAATCTTGAGAACCGATTCGCTGCCATGGAAACCACAATTGACGTTGACGAGAACCTTGAAAATGTGGTTCGAATACTCAGGGAAGAAGGTACGAAATTTTGTAGCATGCAGCGTAAGGGCGGGAAGTCTAAGCTCTCCGATAGAACTTTGGGGCTAATGAAGGAACGACGTGAAAACCCACCTGTCACTTCGTCAGGAAAACGTGCTCAAAACCAGGAGATCAGCAAACGCGTACGATATGACCTCCGGTGCTCCAACACTCACGCTATAGAAAGAGCGATCGAGCAAAACAGGGGGTCAAAAGTATTCGTACAATCTCTTGGAAGAAGCCACTTGACGAAGTTGACCACAGCAAGCGGGGAAGTCGTTGCTTCGAAGCCAGCGGTCCTCTCGGAGGTGGAAAATTTCTATGCCCGGTTATACGCTTCGCATGCATCTCGACCTGATCCCGGAAATGAGGATTCTAGAGCCACATTAACACGCCACTACACCGAAGATCTGCCAGAAGTCAGCATTGGCGAAATCGAGATCGCTCTGAGACAGCTTAAAAATGGAAAAGCCCCTGGAGAGGATGGCATTACAACTGAATTATTAAAAGCAGGAGGTAAACCGGTACTGAAGGAGCTCCAAAAGCTTTTTAATGCTGTCCTCTTCGAAGGGAGAACTCCGCAGGCGTGGAGTAGGAGTGTAGTCGTCCTGTTCTTCAAAAAGGGAGACAAAACCCTGCTGAAGAACTATCGACCCATTTCCCTTCTAAGCCACGTCTATAAGCTGTTTTCTAGAGTAGTCACGAACCGTCTTGCGCAAAGACTTGACGAATTCCAACCACCGGAGCAGGCTGGGTTTCGGAGTGGATACGGCACCATAGACCACATCCACACAGTGCGGCAGATTATACAGAAGACTGAAGAGTATAATCAGCCCCTGTGTCTAGCATTTGTGGACTATGAGAAGGCCTTTGACTCGATTGAGATCTGGTCCGTTCTGGAGTCCCTGCAGCGATGCCAAGTCGATTGGCGATACATCCAAGTGATAAGATGTATTTATGAGGCCGCCACCATGACCGTCCAAGTACAGAATCAGCAAACAAGTCCTATACCGTTGCATCGAGGAGTGAGACAAGGAGACGTTATGTCTCCGAAATTGTTTACTAATGCAATGGAGGATATGTTTAAGACGCTGAACTGGAAAGGACGTGGCATCAACATCAATGGCGAGTACATCTCTCACTTGAGATTTGCTGACGACATCGTCATCATGGCAGAAAATCTGCAGGACCTACAACAGATGCTGAATGACCTGGCTGACTCTTCTATGCGCATCGGCCTACGGATGAACTTGGATAAAACCAAGGTCATGTTCAACGAACACGTACTACCGGAACCGATTGCAGTATGCGGTGCCGTTCTCGGAATTGTTCCAAAATATGTATACCTCGGGCAAACATTGCAGTTAGGTAGAAACAACTTCGAGAGCGAGGTAAATGGAAGAGTTCGGCTAGGTTGGGCAGCGTTTGGGAAACTACGTCAGGTCTTTACATCGTCGATCCCGCAGTGCCTAAAGACAAAAGTCTTTAATCAGTGCGTCCTACCCGTTATGACATACGGAGCCGAAACGTGGACACTGACGGCACGGCTGGTCCACAAGTTGAAGGTCGCTCAGCGCGCTATGGAAAGGGCTATGCTCGGCGTTTCTCTGCGGGATCGAATCAAAAATGAGGTGATCCGGCAGAGAACCAAGGTTATCGACATAGCCCACCGGATTAGCAAGCTGAAGTGGCAGTGGGCTGGCCATATTAGCCGCAGAACCGATAACCGTTGGGGTAAACGAGTTCTTGAGTGGAGACCGCGTCTCGGCAAACGTAGTGTAGGACGTCCTCAGGCGCGGTGGAGCGATGATTTGCGCAAGATGGCTGGCAGGAGCTGGATGCGAACAGCCGAAAATCGAAGTAGATGGCGTGCAATTGGGGAGGCCTATGTCCAGCAGTGGACGAATATGGGCTGATGATGATTATTAAAATTGATTATAAATATTAAGCACAATGTCAAAAAGTTGAAATAAATGATTATAATAAATCATGTCATGTACAAACAAAACCAAAAACAAAATGAAGAAGAGCAAAGGCCAACCGTCAATGTAAAATAGTACATTGTAACCTGTACTATTTTATGTGCCCTAACCCTGTATATAATGAGTAGCTCGGTGACGTAGTGTATAAACGCCGCGGCCCGCTATCGTTGTTGTTAATCAACTTTCGCAAGGTTCGGTCACAGGATGGGTGACCAAAAAATTATTACCTCGAGCTACTCCGTGCTTTGGAAGGCACGTTAAGCCGTTGGTCTCGGCTGAATTTGCAGTCGTTAATACCCTCCAATCAGCATTGGGCCAGCGTGAAGGGTCATGGTACATTCTCCTTCATCATCCATAAAAGTCTGAGCCTGATGATGAACCTAGTGTAAGCTACTTTACATCAATACTTACATGGTGCTATATCTCTATATCTATTCTTATTTAAGTTCTGTGGTAATTTTGCTGCAGTGGCTGGTTCATCTAATCTCCTCAATAAAGTCTCGTACTGTTTCAATGCTGCCCCACTAGCTAAACTGTCGCCGAGTAGTAGCATAGATTGTTCTAGTGCGTCTCCCTCGAACTCGCCCGAACCGAGAGGAACGAAGCATACAGCCGGCTCTTCGGGTCCCGTGTCTTCGGGTTCGTAGACAGCTGCAATGATATTTAGATGAATCAATATTTGTAGAGAATAAACAAAAATGTAGAGCGATTCCATAAAAATCTGAACCGAAATACAAATTCACTTCGAAAGCGAATCCGCTTTTTTTATTTATTTCATTAGAAAAAGCGGTTTCGCTTTTCTATTGATTTAATTTCGTTTCGTCATAATTAATTTCGTCCGACGAACTGTGAAATTAGAACTATATTTAGTCGAATTTGTATAGACAAACATGTGACAGGTGGGGGGGGGGGGGGGGGTGAAGATCATCATTTTGTGTGACGTAATTTATAGACGGCCCCTTATTATAAAGAGTTAATTTGTAATTAAGATTAGTAGTACGACAATGTGCTCTTAAAATAAATGGTCTCAGCGAAAGTAATAATTTTATTCTAAAAAAAAGATAAAGCATAACCCTATTTATATTTGTTAACTATCTACACTCATATTGTGTGAGCGAAATAGATAAAATGGAAGATTAAGACACTTTTCACAATTACATTGTCTATGTTATGGTAAAGAGGGAGCAAGCTCGCTAGGGATTTGGTGAAGACATAAACAGATATACAGACAGACAAATAGTACCGATAATACAAAACTCACCATTCGGCTTAATGACTAGAGTGAGGACCCCTCTAGTATTCCTTATCATCTGTACAATTTGTTCGTGTGTCATTTCGTCTACATCATTACCATTTATTGATATCACCTGGAATAAATTATTGGATATTTTAGATACTTATTTATATGTATTACAGTGGCTTGTACGCTCGGTTTGCGATACGATTGTTAAGCAACTTTCGCTATGGCCAGTTATAGGATGGGCGACCAAAAAATTGATTATCTTGATCTCCTCTGTAGTTCGGAAGGCACGTTAAGCCATTGGTCCCGGCTGCATTTGCAGTCGTTAATACTTATTAATCCGCATTGGACTCGCGTAGTGGCTCATGGCCCATCCCACCTAATCGATTTGATTCCATCAATAGGGAAGGCCTGAGCCCGTCTGCACTAAACAATAATCACACTTTTATGCTTATTATATTTATAATATTGCTTACACTAATTATATATAAAAAAAAACAATATTTTGTGTTCGTTGTCACGTGACAGCAAACAGCGTGTGACGTCACTCCCTTCTTACATCAGAATTAGGATAATTCAACCTTATGCATACATAGAACGATATTCATTTCCGAGTACGCTGACGTCACATCGACGCCATGACTGACTGGCGTCGATGTGACGTCGACTGAAATTTGTAAAATTAAATTGATAATAATTGATCAATTTTGCATTTACAATGCTATACTGAAAAATGCTTAAAAATCCATTTTGCTTTGTCCCTGGTTGTCTACACCTCTATTGCCTGTCATTTTCACTGGTATTTTTCAGTTGAAAAGTTGAAAAAAATAATGCCTTTGTGTTTGGACAATGCATAAATTGCACATTAACGAGAAAAGCAAAAAAAAAAAAAACATCATTTCACACGTAAGTACTGTATTTATTATTTTATATTTTAATATAAATAATAAAACGTCATTGACCGTGGCCATTTTTTAGTGCATCGTGTTCTAAGACTAGGGGCGATTATAGTCTAAGCTGTTTAACTAGTTCTAACAAGATTCTAATAGGGAGGTAACTATTTTTGATATCTTCGCGCCCTTTGTGGTTGTATTATAATGTAACACTACCATAATACATTTTTAATGCAGTTGCTCATAAAGCGCTATTTTTTTAATCAATTGTAAACACCGAAAGTGAGTTTTTATACACGTGTTAAATAAAAATGTACTGAAATCCTTTACTGCACACGTGCTTAAAAGTATTTTTTTTTAAATTTTTGTTTTTAGCCGAGCACCAAAGAAATTAAAAAAAAAAATGATGAAAATATGTCAAACTTAAGAGGCAAAAGTATTTCAAGGAGCCTAGAACGAATATTTTCAAATAAAAATGTATGATACGAAAACATGTTCAAATATCACGTTTAATTTTAACAAATATTTTTTACCTATAATACATACTTAGTTTTATTAACCTATATATTTGTTTTATTCCCTCGCAAAAAGCATTGAAAAATGTCGTAAGAAACTTGAGCGTAAAAGGTTTTTCGAATTCGTGCCAATGAAAACCCGCGCTACGCTCGTGTTTTCAATTTGGCCCTTATTCGTAAAACCTTACTTTCCGCACTCGTATCTTAAATAACTATTACGGCGTTTCAAAAGCAATAATTCAAGGGTACAACGTTTCTAATAATAAATTCTTCATTGATCTAACCTGATCGCCCTCGTGCAACTGAGTCCTAGTGTTAGCGGCCACCCTGGATACTAGTACAGGCGCTGTTCCGCCGCCTCGCACGTTGAAACCGAACCGGCCGTCCGGTCCGGCGCACAGCCGGACGGCCACATCGCCGCCGCACTCCGAACCGGACGACGACTCGTCCACGTACGAGAGCGGCACGCGCAACGCACGCTCCAGGAAACCACCCTCGCTGCGGATAAATAGATGTTCAGCATTATGGTACAATGGCTGGTTTACACGGATTTACCGTTAACCTAATTCTTAGTGACTTTCTGCGGGTTGCACAAACATTCATTAAAATGTTCATTAATTTAAAGCAACATTACCTATATAAATTTGACATTCATTAGAGCTTAAAGGCGTTATTAAACCTTAATGGACGTTTTGCACAAACCATAACTAAACGTTAATTTTATAATGGCCGGTTTACACGTAGTTAAGTAGATTCTTAATTTATAATTAAGTAAATAAGTACGTGTAAACACACAAATAATTAAATAAATTACAAGTTGAAATTCAATTCTAATTAAAATCATAAGTAGTTAACAAAAATTTTACTTGCTACTTATGATTTATTTTTGTGTTTACACATACTTAACCCCTTAAAATGAAGTTATAAATTTAACTTCTTAATAACGTGTAAACTAGGCGTAACTAGGATAATACTATTACAATAAACTATTCTTAAATCATAACTACCCGACCCACCTGACCTGACACAGGACAGGGTTCTACAACAAAACACTTATCAAAACCAGCTGACAAATTGCAAAAACAAATTGGCGTCAGACGCTCGCGTTAGACAATTCCAGTTTATAATATCTCCCCCTAAATATTAAAAAAAGACGCTATCACAAATTCACAATTGCTATTACAAGTCAAATAACTGTAGCATAAACTCTGAGAATATCTTTCAAATGTCAAAATGAAAGGGTTTGATATGTATTTTTAAATTAGACAATTTGTCATTGATTTAGATTAGAGACAACAGGTCATCTGCCCTATGTGGATATATATGACTTACTCTTCTATAGGTGGCGGACAATCTGTCCACGCAGCCCTAGGCGGGGGCTCCGTGTGTCCGGTCACTCGGGCTCCTCTGGCGGTCGAATTAATGCCGGACATTTGCGCGGGGGATGCTGTACCCGACGAACGTTCGCGGTTACGGGAACTGCTGCGTCTGAAATTAAAGAAAATTCATAACTTCATTTTAAAGCAGGGTTCACTGATAAATATCAATGGATATATCGTTATATCGTATCGATTGATATATATAGAGATTGATATTTATAACATTTATTGTTAGTTTAAGTATTGAGTATCAGCTAGAAAACATGCTTAGTATTCAACTAGAATTAGCTGCTAGAGTTAGCTGAATTAGCTCGGTGGCGTATTGGATAAGCGCCACGGCCCGCGATCGTTGTCGATATGCAACTTTCGCAAGGGTCGATCACGGGATGGGTGACCAAAAAATTATTATATAGAGCTACTCTGTATTTATGAAGGCACGTTAAACCGTTAGTCCCGGCTGCATTTGCAGTCGTTAATACTCGCCAATCCGCATTGGGCCAGCGTGGAGGGTCATGGCCTATCCTCCTTAACCATCCATAAGGAAGGCTTTGTGGCGCTGGGCTGATGATGATTCAACTCACCTAACAAAACTCCTGTTAGACGAGCGCGATCTCCTCGCATCTTCCAACGCCTGTGTTTCAGTTCTGGGCACCGTGGGCGCTGTTATTCCCGCTAGAGCGCCCAAAGCGCCCAGCAGTGGGCGTCTACGAGGTGCCCTCAGTCTGAAGAACCCGTGCCTCTCCACGCTGCATCGCCACAGAGCTTTAGCCGCACGACCGGAACGCATGTTGAACCCTAATACCGTGTCGTAGGATTCAGACTGGAATGATTAAAAATATTATAGTAGTGCAAATTCTGTTGTAACCATCTCTTAGATACACATGAAATAAGGAAATATAATTATAATCCTATAATAGGTTGTTTGTAATCTTAGTTTTATACAAAATAGAAGAAACGTAGTTCAACAATACATTAACTTAATTAAGAGTAACTGAAATTATGCAGAATAAACAATAATAATAAATAAAGATTGGGTACTAAAATCGAAATTAAATAACTAGATTTTAGCAATTTTTGAAGAATATTAAACATGTATTTTTTTGCATAATAAATAAATTATAGCAATACATTAAGTTGAAATGTCGCGTGACTCCACACGTTTGTAAATATCTTAATTATCTTAGTAATATCTTGTGCAATTGAAGAAAAAAATAAGTATGTAATAGTTTAGTATTATCTAACTGACGGATTAAATGGAATTTCTTTTTTTTTACCTAGTCTTCATCCATAAACCACAACGCCCAGACCCCAAAACAATATAAAAAAGTTCATCATCTACATTAACACCACCACAAATCAAACCGGGTACCTCAGATATAGGGACGACCTTGAGGTCATCAAATGTGATTTTTAAAGATAAAATCAAGGCTCATAATGTCACTGCCTTAGTTGGTAAATAATTAAATTTTACTTCATGTTACCATACTCACTGGTTCTCGCTTTAACTGTATGAAAAACTGTTTCTTCTTGAAAGAAATCTTTACGATTTTACTCCAAGAGAATGTGTTCACTCTTATGTTATTTTGGAAGACAACTATTCCTATTGACGTCACACCAATAAATATGTCTTTCCCATTGTAATCCTATGAAAAGACAAAAATAAATTAAAACACGTTCCTAGACCTTATTCAGCATAAACTCATACATACATGCATACATACATAATGACATTGTCCCTATTTAATCTCATCCAGGACTTTGTAACAAGGTTTTCAGATACTACATTTAAGGAAATTATATCATATTTACTTTACTGTTTCATGCTCATTCTTAAACATTCAACAATCGACAGAATAGAATGTCTGCACACACCTTAGCTGGATGCGACTCCACGCCGTAACAGTCTAATCGTTTGGCATGTTCTAGAAAATTCGCTTCAGCATCCGCGGGTGCCTGACCACGGTGCAGTTTGTGAAGTTCACGTATACGACGTTCGTCTTCCGAGGTTTGCTTCGGCAAGAGACATAGCTCCGAGAGATAGTTCGGTGGATGTTCCGATACATTGTAGTCGCCGAGTTCAGCTAAAACAATATGACGTTATAAAAATTCCCTATTGACTAATATTCGTATACTGCTGCATAAACTACTAGTTTGAGTGATATGCATAAGGAAATTGTTGTAAATTAATAAGGAAAATAGTAAGTTGTTAATTTCCCCTAAGCAACATATAATAGTAACTATCATTGGTTTATTTGAAAAATTATAAATCATAAAAACCCAAACTGACAAACTGAATGAGTATTTATTGTTAATTAATAATTTAGGAATGGTTTCTGGAATTCTGCAAACATTTTACACACAAACAAAAAAAGGCGCCAAAATGTCATCCATTTGCGTAGACAGCAGACATTATCAGGTTTTTTTTTTGCGTAAGAACATACCTTGAACAGTGAAAGATGCCAGTAATAACGCTGTATTCTTTGGTGCTGTCATTCTGCCGTCTAGGAGGAGTTTTCTTAGTTGCAAACACAGCAGATATCTAGTGTACTCTTCTGCAAGGCGTGAAGGTTCAGGAGGGTAGAACCGGACTGCTAACCAGAATTGTGCATTGGCTCCTACTTGTTTCTTAACTGACTTTCCGCTATCTAACCAACGCTGAAAATACATAAATTTTTTGTTATTTTAAATGTTTACAATGAAATAAAACATTATAGTAAAATGTAAACAAAAAATATGAATGTAAAATACATTATTTTTATCAATTTCTTTTTAATAACCTGTATAGGTATTTTTCTTGGTATTTTTTCTTATTATATATATCTCATATATTTATGCCATTGCTTGATTAAAATAAAACAATATCAAAGTTAATTATCTTTACAATATAAGTACTTCTACAATGTCATAGATAAAAGATAACTGTAATTGTTAATGTTTACTAATCAATGATATGATTGTATAAACCAATTCATTGCAACAGGTGGAAAAATGAATCATATTTTGTGAGAAAAAATGCTAGTCATAGATGTGGAGATTCTTTGAACAATCTTTTGCATTATGAATCATAATTTGTATACTTAGATTCTCGATAATCAAGAGTACTTAGATAAACTAAGGTGTGAAAAGTGGAATTGCATAAATTAAGATATATAGGATGAATGAATATACCCTGTTATAGCTACAGTTTGGCAGCTGGACGTTTTTAGATGGGTAATGCCAATATTGGAAATTAGTTTTAACTATGTACAAAATTGTGATGAATTTATTATTAATATATTTATTTTCTATTTACCTATTTAACCCATTCTGTGTAATCTTCAAAGTGTAATAAGTAATATGTAGTAATAAGACAATTGATTATATCTACTTTAAAAAAAAAGGAATTTAAGTAGAAATAATATTTTTTTATCATCTTAATTAGCTAACTAGAAACTTAAATACAAATAACTAAAATATACTCGCTCTCAAGTCATCAGAACTAATGAACTTACTGTTATTTCAGTATTCATAGCATTTGGTGGTGAACCATTCTCCGTGAACTGCAGACCAAAATAGTCCTTTTCAATCAATTCTAAATGCTGATACACTTGTTCTAATAAGACACTGCCCTTAGCTTTTTTCTGAAAAAATAAAATCACATAAAATAGATTTTAACATTTGTAATATATTATAGAACATTTTAAGCTGTACAAGTGTGAATGTGTATTAGAATAATAGCCCTAATAGTGTAAGATTAATATTTATACACTATGCAATAGACAATTTCTTTTTTGTTTGTGGGTCAAGTAGATTGTTGAAAAATTTTAGACAGGTATTTTTGATCTCTTTGCATTATGACATCACGTTTTGTACATTTTCTACAAAACTGTACAAATTTAGGGAGCGAGCCCCCACTTCTCAACTTAAATGCCTTTTATCTAAACTATCTCTTGTTAAATTGAAGTAAAAAGAAGTATTAAGTATAAGACTATCTTTTTTTTTACCCTGTACAGAATTTCTTTTTTTTCTACCCTGTTGTCTTCCCCATTGAAAAGGACCTAACCCACAAATTGGGACTATACTTTCATTTATCAAATAGGCTCTAACCAATTTACAATATTTGACATTTTATTCAATAGTAGCTATATTTATATATTTTAGTTCCATAAAAACAATTCAAGTTGCTTGAATGTTTAGTAAGGTTTAATGCCAAAATACTTTTAAATTAATTGTTAACTACATAGTAGAAACAGATATGTACAACATGCATGATTTAGAACTATTATTAAGTATCATTTAAAGTCATCAATTATTAGACAGTTATTTTATTATTTATAATTAGGTTATAAGAATAGTTTAGTTTACTTTTGGAGACAAAAAAACGAAAAGCCTATAATGGTAGTGTAAACAAAGTTGTAAAAATCAACGAACCTCAATTTGGAACGACTGCTGAGTGTCATCCAAGAATTGTACTGTGACATTGAAGATGTTCAGCTTCCGTTCTCTTGCAAGTTCAGAGGCACGCACATTGTATGTACCACTAGTACTACTAAATGCACGTCGCGAAACACTCTCGATCATTTCATATATTAGTCACTTTAACCGGATTCCTATCAGATAAGTCAATGCCCCAAAGCTCGACTCGATAACACACGACACGGCGTATCAACACAGAACACTACTCCACCAGCGAAATTTCAATTAACCTCGTGATTCATAAGGACCTCCGTAACATTTAATCACCTAATCTCGCGGCGCATTAGCCGGCTCTACAGACACTACACCACCATGATGTAATTTTATACGAGATATTAGTTCTAATCACGAATATTCTTTCGTTCCAATGTTTATCTATCGTAAACTATTTACAGTACATAACTCCAACGTTCTGTAACAACTGATCACGTATGTAAGACACGACGGTGTGATAAGCTTTAAATCTTAAAATAGAATTTTTGTTGGATAAACTTATTTTTAAGCTAAAACTCTATTTATAAATCGATAACAAAAATGTACCCATTTGACAGATATATAAGAGACATTTGAAGCGCATTGTGCTGCTTGTCAATCCACCATATTGAATTAAACTTGTTGACTAAAATATCGATTTGTTCTTTTCGATATATCGATTCTTTCAAGCAATATAATTTTATTAGATTTATTGATGAAAATTAACAAAATCGTACTATCGTAATCGAATGTTTTTTTTATTATTTATTAGTTTATAAATACGTATTGACGTTCATTGGCGGTTAGTTGCTTCTGCCTACTACTACTACTACTTCTGATAAACTAATCTTCGTTTTATTAAAATTTTCCTCTATTATAATAATGTGCGTTCTCTTAAAATACGATTGATATTGATCTATATTGAACAAAATAAATTTATTCTTATTCTTGATCGTATCCATCATGACCGATGATCGTGGTTAGTTGTAAGCTTATGCGCATTAATGAATTTTCACCATCGATTGCTATTCCGTTGCACACCTCACCACCTCACATAATAATTTGTGAGAAGAATTTATGAGATTTGCCATCTATAAACCTTGCGTTTGCGTCGTGAATTATATAAGGTAAAATGGCTAGGTAATCGCATTATTATTATGTTTTTATGGATCTAATTATTTAGTAATTTATAAAAATATTGTTTGAAAGAATAAAGATATCATATGAGTCAATTTATTGCTTTCTGAGTGTTTAACTCAGTGGCATAGTGGTGAAATGCCGTGGCCCGCGATCGTTGTTGCTATGTAAAATTCGAAAGAGTCAGTCACGCGATGGATGACAAAAAAATTATTATCTTGATCTACTCCGTGCTTGAGAAGGTATGTTAAACCGTTGGTTTTGGCTACATTTGCAGTCGTTAATACCTTCTGTTCTGCATTGGGCAGCAGTGTGAAGGATAATGTCCCATCCTCCTTAACCATCCATAAGGAAAGACTAAACCCCTGCAGTGAGGATATAGAAGGGTTGATAATAAACTACTTTTTAATAAGACGGCTGATGTAGCGGAACGCAATCACTGTTGCTTTTCTCTTTGATTAATAATGCCTTAAGTATAATATTTAAATTAATAAATAATTAAAAAATATACATTTTAATTATAGTTGTTTGGTGTGAAGTTTCATACCAAGTAATGTCACTGTTGATTTTTTTTCATTTGCTGGCTCTCTATCATTTTATAATAGAAGCAGTTGATTGTGACAGCACAAATAAAATCAAGTATTTTTGAGATCTTAGATTACTTACAAATATTGATATTACTATCAAAGTACGATGTATTTTGTTGATGGTCCGAGATGCCAATAATATTCTATGTATTTTTTTTCTCTAATATGAGTTCTTTAAATCCCTCAAAGTGGCCGCCATTTCGATGACGCAATGAGGATGTATTTAAAAAAAAGAAAGCACTTAAAAGCACCTCACTAGAGGGCGACTCTTTCAAAAGTTGATTTTTGCAGGAAAAGAAAGGACCAAAGATTTCCGTTCTTTTTAATTAACATATTAAAAACTGAAATTTGCAAAGTTCGAAACTAATATATCAATACAAATACGATAAAGTAAAAATAGAATATGAGTCGTTAATTTACTTTTATACATGAAAGAAAACCGGAAGAGTTGTCATGGAGAAATCAAGAAAGTACCGTAGCGACATTTAGTTTGATTTCAGAAACTAATGTTTCTTTTCATTTTTTCCTCATTGCATTCAAATATAAGTAACGTTAACAAATAAATAGTGTTTGACGAGCACAGATCAATAATACTCTTGACGAGTACACTCATTGATTTGGGTTGTGTTGAGAACACACATCATTTTTGTTGTTTTTATTGGTTTCCATAGTTATTGTTAAGTTGTTATGTTTGACTAAAATAACAACTGCATAACATATCACAATTAATAAACATAATTTCACTAATAATAAATATATCTAATGTCTCTTATTTCATTAATTCTTTTCGTTATGTAAATAATAATAAATAATGTATTTATTGCCTTTTGTGCTATCTATAATTTCTATTTTAATATGACCTCGAATGAAGGGACCTCGTCCTTGCAACTTTTCCTGAACACCTAGCAATTTATCCTGTCAGGTTTAGAACTCGAAACCAGGTTAAAACTAATGTATTTTCATGAATCCTTTTGGATTAGTTTGATTAAAAACTTAAGCGAAAAAGTTTCTGTGTTAAAATTTCTTCTTATAATCATAAAAGACTTATTACTTTTGTCTATGAAAATCTATTTTCTTCCCATTATAAGCCAGGATTAGTTAAGCTATTGATAATAAATAAATAAAAAATCGGACTACGTGACTCTACCTCATTACAATAATGACATGGATATAATAAAACCACCTTTCAAACAGTTATTTGCCTTTATTCTGCATCTCATCGTAAACCAGCAGCCATAATCAATCGTTCGGTACCATTATAGGAAGAAAAATTAAATACACTATTACATACTGTTACAGTTTGGTTTGAATATGTGTTACAGCTGAAGTTATGTGTAAGTAGAGTTTTATAATCGTATTACTATTTAATTACATATGGATCATGAAAACCAGGGTGCAGTGCAATATTGCTATGTAATATATCGATTCACATTGACGGGACTAGCAGTTAGTAGTTAAATTATTATCATTTGTACTTAGCATCCTATGCTTCCATCTATTACACTAATGTTTGTTAGGAATCAGATTTTTCATAATAAAAATGTAAAAGTAACTTTTAGAAGTGGAAAACTATTGGATGGTTGATAATAAGTATGTATGGGTAGAAATTTTAATTATAATATTCCGTTTAAAAACAGTTTCGAACTCAACATCGATTGCAATACGCAGTATTAAACTTTTATTACATTTAAAAAGGTTTTATTTGATTGAATCTTTACGCTATGACAATACTACGCCGAGGTGGAGCTCAAAGCTGTTTTTATGACATAAAAGTTTGTTTCTTAACTTTTATGTCATAAAAACAGCTTTGGTTTGGTTGGGAGAGATTATGACGTCATAATTTTAGGTTGATTTCTAGTAAATGATTGAATTATGTAAAAAACCTTTATAAATCATAATTTAAAAACTCTTTTTTTTTCTGTCAAAAAATTATTTTTGAATTACTCAATGGCATTCTATACCGTTTGTTACAAACGGTAACGGTAAAAATTAACATTCTTCACAATGTTTACAACTACTATCCATTACCTAAAAGGATAAAGGCGAAAGCTAAAATTATATGGCGCTAGTTAAATCGGCGGTCGTGACAATTGTCACTTTTCAATTTTATTATAATTTCTGTATTTCCTCATCTGTCTACTATTTTTTAAATTTTCCACCATATTTGTAAAAATTAAACAAAAATAATGTTTTTAACATAGCCACAGAGTTTGATGTTTACAACAACTCTTGCGCCGTCTTGTAGGAGCATATCGGAACTAATGAAATTCATATGACAATATAGATTATTAAGGGCAGGCGCACATGGAATTTGCTCTTACTAGTATGGTAATGGTATTGGATAGTGGATATGTATATAAATAAAGTATATAATAAATGGATAGACTTCGATGAAAAACCTGATTCGATAATTATAAGTACATATTACGCACAATATCGCATCGCACGACTTATCATAAGTCACTGTGTACCTTACTGCTTGTTGTGGGCTAGTGGTGCGGTGTGTAGTCGATAAAAAATCCGTATCGAGTATAATTTTTTTTTTTTTTATGGCCAAACATCCCATTTTAAATACATTTTTTTGCACTTGTAATAATTTTTGAAAATATAAATTTTGATAATATTTTTATTCCTTTTGTTCCTAAATATTAATCCAAATAGTTTTATTATCCTTAATATTGTATTTACAATTTTTCAACAGCCGAAAAATATGTTCAATTTTTATAATATTATTTTTTTTAACGACTCTTGTTAAGTAGTAGGTAACAGTACAAATATTAATGATCACAAGTTGGTTTTCATTGGTCATTAACATACCTTACATTACAGCTTATTACTATTGGTAATACAGTTAACAGCAGGTCTTAAATTGAAAACACTCTAACTAAATTATTTACATACGACACTACAAATATATATTTGTCAAAGATAGAATCTATAAAAACTTGAAATCATGGGAACACCCATTATATATTAGGGTCTTCATTTGAAATATAAGAACAAAAGCTCTCTTCAAAAAATATGATATTCTACAATAATTGTCATGATCAACTTATTACAAATATATATCTCATGTGATTAAAAACATCATATTTTTGAAATAAACCGGTATATAAAAATTTTGAAGTGAATATTTTATATTTTTGTACGTTATCGTATACATATGAAAAATGGCACTGAGTGAAAAAGGAAGATAGATACGCTTGATGACCTAATAAAAATACTTTTAGAAGAGAGCTGTTTAGGTGTTGATCGTTAGACCAATTTAGATATAGTAACTACATAATTTTATTTGTGCATACTTTTCGGGCACTCCATCACACACTAAAATAATTACTTAAATGTCAAAATTTGTCTTTTTGAAACTTTTTATAATATGTATAATATTTTCAAAATCTACAGTTCCAAATGCGAGGCAATTTTATTAGGTAAATATTACTACCCAAAAATATGCACAGACATAAATTTATTACGTAAAATTAATTTCAAGACCACCTGTTACTTGTATTCTTTTAATTGAAAATTTTAATATGAATATGGAACAAATAATATAACATTTCTGACACTGCCAACAAATCCAACTTGAATCTACAAATTTGTTTAAAAAGCTATGAAATAAAAATTATCAATGGAACTAATAATACAGTATTGAAAATAAAATTAAAGAAACAATATTTACATTTTATGATAGTATTTTAATTACTATCTATTCTATACATATCGTTTTATATCTATCTATCAACAAAAACCTACCAAAGATTAAAAAACTTTTAGTAGGCCTCTAAGACTGACGACACATTATCTACTTTCATAATATCAATATTATCCCTAAAACTATAAAGTGCAACATTCGCTAAATAGAACGAAATAACTCAGAGTATTTCAATAAATTAATGTACCAACTACATTACAGATTTGTCGCCAAAATTGTATTGTACTTATTTACAAAATGCAATATTTTTATACAAAAAAAGGATAATACTAGGAATACCCACAGTCCAACATACATCAACTCCTTCTTTACTTAAAATGCTATAAAAATCCCAGCTTTCCCCACCATGAGTTATCACCTAATACTGTAAAGTTATTATAATTTTAAAGTAAATAAAAAATCTATGGCAGTTGCTCATGCTTGTTTTTATTTAAAATAAATTTAAATAAAAAATCTATTTGAAAATGTTTGTTAATTTGGTAATTTAAAGAGCAGTCGTCACACCGAGTAGATCAAAAGTCCTCATTTGATTATTTGTACTAATAAACAACTACTTCTTATAAGTCTATGTCATTCCGTTCATATCAATGTAAACTACGTTGAGACGAATATTTCAGTCGAAATTTTATTTTATTTTACAATTAATTTAAACGCTTAACATTATCTTTCCTTTAGAGTTGGCTGGAATCGCATAAAGGGTTGCGTTAAGGCCAGAATAATATTTATAAAATATTATTTTTTAAGGAAACATAAAAACACCTTTCTAAGTAAGACACTATTAATGCAAACAATAAAGTGAGTATCGAGACGAGATCACGAATCTACGTGCAGGATCTTGAAGCCAAAACCATCGACATCGATACAATGATGCGCTCCATCTCTAAAAAGTACTTAGACTAAGTTTAAATTTGCCGCCAAATTATAATCGGAGCTGCCGCTATTTAAAACGAATATTTAGACCATCCCTTTGGACATCATTCTGACTGTATTCTTAAGAGCTTGACGTTTGTTGCAAAACCATATTCGAATGACCTCACGCTCGTAACCTAGTTGATGTGCAAGTCCAGTTATTTCAGTACCTGGAAACACAAAAATAGTAATAAGCACACACCAAAAAAAATTACTGATTGATTGACCGCAATGAAGTCCTTAAATATAATTTATTAATTTTATGTCGATCTTTTTATCTATTTATATCCTCACGCCGGATCCCTTGCTGGATAGGCAGAGAGGGTATAGCACCACAAAACACGATCCTTACATACATCTTTCGCTTTAATAACTACATAACTCTTTTTATGCACGCTTTCCAATTTTTATGGCTTTCCATCACCCATCGATAACACGCGATTAATTTCATCGTGCAAGGCGTGCCTTGGTATCCAGGTTCTACATCCGTCCAATTAATAAAGCATCCATTTTAGATTGATACGTTATCAACTGGAAGTAAGTTTAGATCAATCAAGGACGGTTGCTTCATATAATTTTAGGATCGTCATGTATTTTTTGAGTTGATTATAGGAAATAGGTGCACTACATTGTATTTCGTTGATATACTGTAGGTCTTTTTTTAATTTCTAACGAAAAGGTAATACCACTTGACACTGTTCTTGAAAACTTAATTACATTATATTATCTTCGTAATATCCTCCTCCAAATATAGTTTTTATTACGACTGTCGATGCTTCTCTAGACTATATAATGTACATGTCGCAGCCAAGTGGTATAATCAGCTGACCTTCGATCAGTCAACGCAACATTCTACAATATTGCTGAACAAAGGTCAGTCGACTAATAGAATTAGAGATAAAACAATATATATTGTAGTGGGTGATTTTATATAAAGAACAAAAATTCATTGTTACGTTCGGTAATTGATATAGAGACAGGACTGATCAAAAAGATAATAATAAACTGCTTATTCGCGATTGGGTGTTAATGGTCTGTATGATCCAATACAGAAAATTAATGTTCGCACCCATAACGCAAGTGAGTTAAACTAATAAATTCTTAATTCTAATAAGATAAGATATTATACCGCGATTCAGACGATCACAGCGATATCTATCGAAATCAGAGTAAGCTATATATTTGACTGCGATTGTTTTATTATTCTTATTTCGATTTAGAAAGTTTGGTGCTACAATAATTTATAACAACATAAAATGATAAACAACAAAGTTATTTTGGTCCTGTAGGCCAAAGAGAAAACTAGGCGTGCAATTGAATGGCGTCATCCAATTAAATGGATCGCCTCCCAATTGAATGGTTTCTTTAACCAGTCGGCTGCGACATATAGTGAATCACAAAGCCACAATCAATCGATAAACAGCAGGAACACTAATCTCTATAATAATAATAACATACCAGAAGGGTGAGTGTTCCTCTCGAAGTGTGCGTTGAGTAGTTCGAGAGCTTGTGGTGTAAAAGATGTTCGCCGCTTGCGTTTCTTGCTTGGCTCCATACCGATGAAATCAGTGAGATGGTTTTGTCCCGAAGCGTACCTGAAAGAGAGGAGAAGTCAATATATATATTTTAATTATATTGTAAGCTCTTCGTTAAGCAATGTGTTCAGACAAACATAAGGTCAAAACGTGATCCACACGTGGACTGATTTTTATTCTATTACAACAACTATGTACATATTGAGTAATAAGTACTATGTCCTGCATGCAAATTACTTGGTTTCCATTGGAATTCGTTAGGTCATTGTTAGTGTAATACGACCGTTTGGTTAAGTGAGGAGGTAGTCATTAGTTCAAAGCGGCAAAAATAAAGATCTTAATATTATATTCATTGTCCTATCGATCCATTACTTTTCCAAATAACTGTTTTTTTTTTCACACAGTTCTAGTATTAAAAAGTAACACCGATAGAAATAACATTTTTTTCTAAAGCATTGTGCTTCTAATCATTAGTGGCATAGCGATCAGCGATTTGCGAACTGGCAAACTTTGGTAAAGCATCGCGAGAAAAGTGATATCTTATATTTATCGAAGACTATACAGAAATCTGCCACATGTTTGTAACCTAAATCTTGAATTTAGAAATCTACATAAAGAAAATATATTTTCAGTTCTCTTTTTGCATTTATTGTTCACGGCATAAGTTACGTATACGGCTTTAAAACAAGTAGTACATATTTTGCTATCCCATTATATTAGGTAAATAAATTATAATGATTAGTTGTGATGCCAAGAAAATTTATTACTAAGAAAACTAAGTCAATGGTATTTAAGAGGGACGACACTTGAATGACGTGTTGAGTATATCAATGAAATTTGATGTACTTGGACCCAATTTTAACTGTTTAGAAACTGCTGGCAGTGAGGAGATCTCTCTCTCCTTTATTGTTCATCGACATGACTTGTTGGATTTTGCTGTCTCCTATTTAAGTCACAGAGTGCAGAGCTTTGATTTCAATAGCAAGAGATCCCTTAGATCGATAGTTAAAATGGGTGTTCCACAGGGCTTTATACTTGGTCCTCTTTTATTTTTAATTAATATGTCAACTTTTACAATATGTACACCTTAACAGATCCTTAAAAATAGCAGTCAATATATTAACTTTAAACTTGGATTGGAGAGTAAAAGTCAAAATAATATTGAATAGATGAAATATTAAATAAAACACGAATAGTGATATCATCAGTGAATCTTATCCAGAATTTAGTAACGAGTTCAGGTCAACCATAGATATAGTATAAAATCAAGTATGTGTTTTAAAAATTAAGTCAACTGGAAAAAAGCCTATTTCCCTACTAACAGTGATATTATTAATACTTAAATCATTCTGGTACAATTTAACGGTTAAATAACTGAACCTATTTTATTAAAATTTACAGAGATAGAGTTGAATGAACCTAGAAAAGGTTACATTTTATCGCAAAAATATGAACGTATCTATACCATGCAAACTAAGTGTAAAAGTCTAGTCAGAAATAAACACTTCTATTCGAAATAGTGGGCAAAGGTTGGCTAAAAATATTTTTTTATCTATCTTGTAAACTCCGGCGTTGTGATAATTCGGTATTAAACTTCTCTACTTCTACCTTCTGACTGCTTAAAACGGTACATCTCTTTAAAACAAATGTCACGGCATTTTATAAGACGTTTGAATTGTAAATAGATGCAACCGCCTTAACCCCTAACTATCAAGTTCATATTGAAAAACAAGACGTTTAAAACCTTGCTCCGTTTCCATAAACAGACTGTCATTTGAATGTCCATACATAAATGAATCTTTTCTATCAGACACAGACATTGACGTGTGTTATAAGTGACGAGGGCCAGGCCGTTGTTAAAAATATTAGGATAAATATAGTCTTGAAAAGATAAATAAAATATGTAATTTTAAAAGAAACAATCGATAGGTAACGTCACAAACGTACGGACATACAAGTTGTGGTATTTAGGTTTGTTCGGTTTGTCAGTATTTTATAAAAAATCCACAAATATGCCCAGAAGACTAACTGTTTTATTAGAAAACGAGGACTAATTATAGTAGCAGTCTCAATTTGTTTCTTTTTTACATTGACAGAAGAGAAAACGTCAAATTGAGACGTGTTACCTCATTTTAATTGGATAATTATTTATACTCGGCACATTTTAAATCCTCGCTTTATAACAAGACTGCTTTAACTTAACGCGAGAGTCGCGGATCACACGAGAGTTGTGGGCCGCGCGAGAGCATCGAGACGCGTGTTACCTTACATTATGTTGTGGGTGGTATTGAGATAGGTCTCGAAAGTTTTTAGAAGACCGAACAAACCGTAAACTTTAGTTAATTTTCTTTTTATTAACACTGACTAATACATAACTAAAATAGCTAGGGCCAAGGATTTCAATATGTTTATGTTTTTGTTGCCAAGCAAAAAGGTTAAGATCTTTAACGATTTATTGGGTCAAAAGGTGAATTTATTAAAATAATATTTTTTTGTCTATACTTGTTGACTTAAAAAAATATTGCAGTTTGTTGATCGAAGAGAAATGTGTGTTTTTTTAATAGAAATCCGACGTGGCACTCACAGAACTAAATACAATAAACTTAATTCTTTTTTATGTAAGAAGAGGTACTTTTAAATTTATATAGAGGTATATAAATTTTCATTAACTGGAAACAGTCATCTGTAACTCTGATATCTTATACCTAACTCGGACGTCAAGGAACTTATTGAATGAATAAATAATTTCTTATGTCAATGTATTTTGCTTTAGGCGGTTTATAGTTTAAACCAGGTTCTAACTTTAGTCCTTGTTTTGTAATATTACGGATAGTACTAACTTAGTAGTAAGATGGTAGATCTTGACACATTATTTAATTATGAGGCGGCACGGAGTTCGCCAGGTGTCTTAGCTGAGCAAATAAATTGATAAGATAGCTATTATGTACACAATAACTTGAAAGAAAATATTTTTTTATATATTGATACTATGTTTAGTGAAAGAAAAACATATCAGAGAAAGTTCAGTTGAATCATGTCGTCCGAGGTCACAGATACACATAACCTATATCTGAAGCGGAGAAACAACTGTTGATTAAAACCTAATAGAAAATGCATCAAAGTATGATGTCACAGAGATCACTGTCCCTATATTAATTCAAGGACTATCGTTAGAGGCGCTCGTTAAAAATTACCACTAAGGTATAGTAGATTGCAAATTCAATGCACTATTTCCAATGTTAATCGAGTCCCGTTGCAATCCAGATAATGCATTTTAATGACGGAAAATGTTAAATCGATAGAAATCTTACGACGTTATTAAAGTCCGTTGATGTTTTAAGTGACACCTGGATCCTGGTGATATGAAATTTAAAGCTCGTTTGTTTTCCGTGATCGTTCTGGTGTTTCTGATGATATGGGTTAAATTCGAATAGGTAATGTACATCGTTTTCCGCCTAAGTTAGAGTAATTTCTGATAACAAAATATTTATATATTTCAATTAACAAAAATTATGCTAACATTAAATTGCATTAAAGGCTTATATAATAAATATTACATATTAATTCGCTGTAGATTACATATACCTAAATATTATAAGGATACAATTCAAAATTTAGGAAACTGTTTCCAAACAACATGACCGTTGAATAAGATAACAGTGTCCTAAACTTTGGTGTCTACTATAAATTTAATATTAACAGTGTTAGTAAAAACATCAGCAGCAATATATACTAAATAAAGATAAAGCCTAGCCCGTAAAAGCAGTAGTTAGTCCAGATTTGAGAAATGTCTTTGCAACGTTGCTAAGCGTTATAGGCCAAATGTGTCACGAACACGGTGTAGCACAAAACCACGTACAAAATTCACTCAAACAAATATTTACCTCTCTTCTGCTTCCTTCATCCAACGTTCGAGCACCGGTTTGATTTTCTGCGCACTTTTTGGTGTTATATCCAATTTCTCAAATCTGTATCGAACACACAATTTAATTGTTAGATTCTTACTATGCACGCACCGTTCGAAAAGTCTAGCGCAAACAGAAGCGCGGTGAAGAAGCACGAATGGACATAGTAATATCGCGGCAAACCCGATCCAAATATACACAGGACATTGACATTGCGTTAAAGATTTTGTTGTACAGAGAAATAAAAAAAAAACAATAGGCAATTTAGATTGCCGGGTAATCAGTTTGATTAATTTCAAACGAGCCAACAATAAAACAACGAATTCAATTAGAAACGAAAGGTAGCGTATGCCAATGCCCTGGCTTTGAATTGCGCGAAATGAATATTAATAAAAATAAGAGTAATGAAATAATATATCATGCTAGATTAGATGGAAAGCAAGAAATTACTCATCGAGATGTTACTACAATAAAAGTGATAAAACTCTCACGACGATTACTCATGGTGTCGAATAGACATGGTCGGTAGCCATACATTAATGTAGCGCGTTTGTCTTAACATCAAAATGTAACAGCGGAGGCGTATGATGCATGGCGCCTTTTCAGTAATTACTCGTATGCAAATACCTTATACGTGTGAATAGGAAAAGAAAGAACGTCAAAACCGGTAATTACCGATAATTATATGCGGCATACATTCAAAAGGAATGTACGGATCGCCGATCCAGATAAGATAACATTAAACAGCGTTGAAACATTTTGATTTAAAGTCAGTCTACATGTGGAACGGGCCGTTGAAAGTGAGTCAAAGCGTGTGCTTAATGCATGTAAGTTGGGGTACCTCCGAATTTATCATACCACGAAAATCTTATGTGAGATTCTAAAAAATTAGTGTCAAAATATTATGTGGTAATTATTTTAGATCACAATCGCCGATGCTGATAAATTTGGAGATACCATTAAAAGGGAAATAAAAACAAAACACATACATGTTTTGTTGTTGTGAAGACAGCTGAGCAGCTAGCATCTGCGAAGCCAGGGCACTGGGGACGGTAACAAATAATTATATTAGATTTTTATCATCCAGTGGGCGTAGGAAATCTTCGGTGCTCTGCAGAAATATAGTATCTATATTTATGGACATAAAGCCGCACGCTCTTTCAATATAAAGTTTTTTAGAATGCCCAAACAAATAAAGTTCATATTAATTGTAACTAAACGTGAGAAAATAACATTATATTTCTAATGATATATCGAATCCTCTCAAAAATTTCCATAGTGGCACTCATTGACTAACCCGCTCAAATTTTATTTTTATTTTCTGCTAAACTTTAATGCGTTATTCTTATATTTAAAACTAAAGATTCAGACGTCATGCATTTAAAGTAAACAAATGTAGTCCGAGTAGAATGCTGTCACGTTTACATTACATTAAACATTGAAATATATTTAAAAATAATGTGATCAAATCACAACAGCTTCTCTAGTGTCATTGGCTCAGATAATGTTCTTCTGAGCAAGTCATTATACAGTAGTAATGGTTATTTCTGATACAAAACCCATAGAAATTCTCAGAGTTTTGCCTTCAAGACGGTTTTACAATTTCCAAGTTAATCATTCCGTTTGTTTTCACAAATTTGTTTTAAAACAAAAAATCTACTGTCAGACCTGAAACAATAGTCAAGTTTCTTTAAGAACCGGGGGGGAGTGTTAAATTAATTCTTTTCTCGAATTATATGTTTTAATTAAAATGCAAATTAATTAAGTCCAGTATAATCAAAGGGGTAACTACCATGTAGCGACGTCACGACACCAAATTGGAGGGAGTCGAAAGAAAAATTAATGGAAAATGAAATCAGGACGAGACAAAGACAGGGGAATTCTACTCTTTTAATTACACGAAAAAAGTAATTACGGCAAGATAATTAATTAACTGGAACAGAAGTAACGATTAATGATTTTATTATACGAAGGAGGTCGTCAGGGGTGGCGCGAATTGAAATTTTCTTAGGCTTGAGTCGATGCTGTTTTCCGCTTTGCATCGAAATTAGATTTGTACATCGCAAACTTTGTTGCGATTGATTTGCTCCGATCCAATCGACATAAGCGATAATAATCTGATGCTTTTACATTTTTCTTTTGCTTGGTGTGTTTATAACGATTCCATTTACTGTTAGATATGACTATTGATAAATTTAAATTGATATAATGCTTGCTTTAACTATTAAAAACATTATTACATCAAAAATAATTATAGAAAATCCGATTGCTCAATTCTATTCAACGTTAACACCCAGTTCATCATTGAATAACGAAATAAGAATAGTGGATGCCAAAAAGATAATTAGAAAACGCATGCCCTCGCCTAGCCAAGTAAAAAATGGTGTAAGCCACGACACGGGCCAGAACGGAAGCCGTCCGAATGGTAATTAATTAAACGAATCGTAAGCAATGAAAGGAGTCATGCTGTTTTACAAATCACTTCAATTAACGATATTAAAAAGTTGGCTGCGATAACTCAGCCTTGGAATTGGGAGTTCTTTATTACTAGGGTGGTCAGAGCTGTGACGAGCGTGCGACTTTATATACTGTCTTATTCTAAATCTGAATATTAGGTATTTATTATAAAATCTGTATCGATAGTAAAAAAATATATAATATTACTGTATACACTATTGTTTACACTATTACACTGTATACATTATTAGTTTAAGTAGTCCAATAAAGAGAGGATAGATATTTTTATTGTAATCTATATTTTTGGACACTATTTAGTACCACATAATATATGTTTTGACTCTTTCACTCATGAAACGAACTCTATCAGTAAGCTTCACGGAATTAGCTAAGAAAATAGTTGAAAAGTATTTTTCATTTCATAGGATCATACAAAATATGCACAGTAATTAGGATCTATATTATATTTACCTGCAAATTGCACTTTGACTGTACGCCGGCCCTTCTGTAACGGACAATGCTTGTCCAACTTGAGTTTGTGTTAGGCCAAGGCCAAGGCGACGTAGTTTGAAAGCCTTGGCGAATTCCTTTATATCTTCTAAGTTGATACCGTCCACGACGTTGCTGGATGACTGGCTGATAGTCGGTTGATCTGTAGATGTACATGTGCATATTATTGTAAATTGATATTTATGTCAAATTCGATCTTATGCTCTAGTTGTGTGTACATTGTGATTTTAATCATTCAAATATCGGTTAAAAAACAAGAACTTAAAATTATATAGTCATAATATTCCCATTATAACTGCTGCTCAAATAAGCAGCTGATTTGTAGATAATAATACGAAAAGTAATTAAAACAATGAAGTCCTAATCGAAGCAACATGTAAAGGACTTCTGATATGCAATTTAAGGAGTTTTAACTAAGACATAAACTACAAATTTTACCACGGAAGTGACGCTTCTTCGCGCAACCATTTAATTACAATCAAAATTATAGGCAAGTTTAGTAAGCAATTTATGCAATTAGAAGATGGTGGCTCCTAATTATGGGGGATGCCATTAGCTGAGACGTGCTGTACCAGTCTCCCTGCTTAGCTAACCGATGACAAATTACTTTCACTGTCTACCCCCACTAGTTTACTAGTCTGCATCAATTAAGACGGGCAGGGTTCGTAAATTGGCAATCGTTCCTCCATTTACCGGTGTTCGAAACGCAGACGATTTCTAATGTCGTTTGTTATTCGCCAATAGTTTCGGAAATTTTACTGTTAATTTTATGAGGGGTTATTGAGAGATATGAAACCTCTAAACATCCGGAGTATGATGATTCGATTTTTCGATTTGTCAATCGAGACTTATACCTCGTGTCTTCATAAGTTTTGAGACAAACTTTTTACTGAAAAAATAAAATAAAATGTTATTGGCTGTTGTTTATTTTTTACCGGTTTTGAATTTGGAATAGTAACTTTTAGTCTCTTTGTATAGCAAATTCATTTGTTTATATTTTTCATGATACAGGGAACGAAACAATTACGAGCAACTGTCATTTCGGTATTTAAGGCGGGAAAAAACGGATGCAGATTTTCCGCGAGCGGAATAGTTTTCCTGTAAGCCCGTAACTTTGTCAACAAAGACACGGGCAAGATCGTCAAAGGAGTGAAGAGCGACTTCGCCGAAATCCATGTCGCACTCAAAAGAAACTAGCTCTGCAGACAAATATTTCGCGCGTTTCAGTGAACAGAATACTGAAATATGATTTTAAGGCCTACAGCCGTAGAAAAGTTCACTTTTTAAACGATCGTATTCGTAAGTTACGACGCGAACGTTGTCCATTGCTCGCAACTGAATTCTGAATTCAACTTCATAAGAATAAGTTGAGGGTATAATATGTAAGTACACATATACATAACTTACTTAAGTAAAAGTTAGAACAAATCTATTCAACTTTGTTAACTGTTGTCAAATAAATTTATAATTTTCTCATATTTAAATAAGCTTTAATATAACCTACCTATAAATGAAATTATTTATCATAGTTAAAGAAAACAAATACCCTTGTCACGAGGTATTTTATTAATACGAGTAAACTGATTTCTTTATGTTTCCTTATTTATACTTAACTACCTGACTATAAGATAAAATTGTAATTGGGACACAGAGAAATATATAAATTTATTATTATTATTATTGCTGCTGAGGAGAGATGACGCTATGAAGATACTCTTCACCGACAAGAAAATCTTTACTGTCGAAGAAAAGTTCAACCGACAAAACAATAAAGTGTAGCAAGGATGTCCCAGCTCCTGCAAGGAATGTCTCGCGCACTCATCATCCGGCTAGTGTGATGGTATAGTGGGGAGTTTCGTATGAAGGTGTCACTCCAACAAGGTGTCAAGGTGAAAGCCAAGAATTATCAGAGTGACATTTTAGAACCCATGGTGAAAACCATGTCTGATACGTTATTTCACAATAAGGATTGAGTTTTGCAGCAAGACTCGACGCCATCCCATAAGGTAAAAAGCACGCAAGCTTGGTTGGCGTAGAATGTGCCGGCCTTCATTGCGGCGAACGAGTGGGCCTCCTTCAGCTCCGACCTCAAACTCTTGATTATTCTTTATGGACTGAATTAGAGCTCAGGGCCTGCCGAAAGTCCCACTCAAACTTGGAGTCACTGAAACGAAGCCTTCGTTTCGACTTTTCGAGAAGCAAAGCGAATTCCGCTAGAAAAGATGACTGACTAAATAGTCTAAGGGCCTCTCTTAAAAACAATGGCGGTCATTTTGTAATAAAATATATATTTTATTTTTGATTATTATCTATTTAATGGTTACTGAAAATTTTAGGAACATAAGTTCATTATTAAAAAAGATACGCAACATTTATTTCGTCTCAAAACTTATGAACACACGAGTATAGAATACTAAAATATAGTACTTTTTATAAACGTAATTCGATATATAGTGGTTTTGTCGTTCAGCTTTGGCGCTTATTGTTTAATTTTCAAATATACAGCAAACTTTTTCAATTTGACATTAGAATACTGAAACTACACTTCATAAATAAACGATATCTTATTTAATATAATATCACGATAACTGGAATTGTCTAATGCAAATTTTAGATGCAAATATCTTTGAAAACTGCTGAGAAATGTCAACTCAAAATTCATTTTATCATTCTTTGATCATTCAAATCATCATTCGTTCCAAAAGCGATTGCGACTTTAAACGTTACAAAATTTCGTAAACCCCTATCGGAATCTCTATGAAATTAGATAATCAACCCACTGATATAGCATAAACATTTGTAATGACATACAATAGGACTCTGGTAGGATCACGTCATATCTAAAATTCGTTTACAGTTGGCCATTGGCTTGTTTGTATTTCTTTCAGAGTTCAAAGTCAAAGTCAAAATAATCTTTATTCAAATAGACTTCTTAAAAGTACTTTTGAATCGTCCAATATTTTTTCCCTACCGCTCGTTCAGGACGTCTTTTGGCTGATAAGAAGAACGAGCAAGAAACTCACCAGCTCTAATAGGAGTAATGACATTTACAAAAACCATGCCATTATCAGATCAATACATTATAAATAAAGACTACTACATAATAAGTTGGAAACAAATGAAAAGCGAGTAGGTACACACACTAACGACAGACAAAACTATGTTATTAATAAAACAATTCATCGCAATTTGCCTAGCGATTACTAGAGAGCATCACCAATTTTTAACATCGACTCTTCCAATTAGAGCGTTCGCGTGATGAGAATTCGCCCGTTAATTACCTATAAAAGATAAGTCAATTGGTCAAAGAGTGGTAACAGTACGACCGTATTCAATAACAATAATGCATCGAGATACCGGACGGGTAATTGTTTAATACATGTAATAAATTAATTAGACACAATTAATGTTCGCGTGTCGGTCTGTGTGCACGTCTATTGACCCTGGGTTACGTGCGAACGGATCATTTTTGGTATAGTTCTCTAATTTGTTTCGGGCCATTATGTATTTTCGAACGTTGAGTTGGCTGCTTTCGACATTGTTATATCGAACGTTTCAGAATTGAATTTTTCCGTGATAAAGTTTTTGGGCGCTCCTACAGTCATTTCGTGAGTATAATTGAAATATTGTTTTATGTTCGTAAGTAGATTACGTATAATAAATAGAATATATAAATATGTAGTCAACTTTAAGACTATCTTCAATATTTGTCCCAATTTTGAGACGCAGAAAATATTGGAGAAGAATAGGTAATAACCTAATACTAAAAGTAACTATAACCAAACGATTTTCTTTTACTTTTCAAATACACCATTAGAAACTATTACGTTTTAAGTGTTTCCTGTAAAATTATCTGAAATGGATTGAGTCGGCTTGCAGTTGACAATGTGAAAGAAACGGCATTACAAAATTTTTCAAAAATCAATCAACTAAACTAAAAGAATTTCATAAAATTTCTTCCAATTACATTATTTTCCATTTGTTTCTATTTCATTCTACATTATTTTCCATTTGTTTTGCCGCACCAATTTTCTGTTTGATATTAGTAAATAGTTTCCTCTCGAAAATGATACGCTAATATCAGATTTGCGTTCGCCGACATTCGGCTAATGCCAAACTCACATGCCAACTGTGCATATTTAAAACAAAAAGAAAAAAAATTGTCCGAAGTAATAATCGAAAGAGACCGTTATTTCGACATTTTATATTCAACGGTTCATTATTCTTAATTAAAGTTTTTCGAGTGATTAGGTGAATCATGTATACTTTGAACGAATTACATTTACACGCGCACGTGAATTTTTTAAAGATTCACGACTCTCTACTGTATGGAAGAAGGGGCATTTTCGTATGTGATCGACCTCGTCGATACGCGCATTATAAATTAGTTAACAGTGGTAATGGGTGATATTACGCGAACTGAATCGACTCGAATCATTTTCCGATTACAATATAAATTCGAATACGTTATCCATTGTAATTAATGCGTATTAACGTAACTGTTCTAAGTACTTTAGGAGTTTCTTCAAGAATTTAAACGGTGTTCGGTAAAAGTTAGACCTTTTCTGTAATATCGACGAGAGCTTTTCATTTGGGCTGTAATTAAAATCCGATTTTATGAAAGATTATTGATGATTATAATCGAATTAAGTGTTGTGTATGGTTTATAAGTTTGACACATGTTGTGAATAACTTCGAGGTATTAATTTATAAGTAATTATGAACTTGTAATTTTAGTACTAGGGGAATTTTATATTCGAAACAAATTTTCGTGACAAACTTCGAGTTAGTTTAACTATATTATATTAAAAATTTAATTATTCATAAATTTCATTATCTGTTACGAAGTCAAGATAACCAATAATTATATATAACAGACACTTTACAAACGAATTTGATGCCAAAAATTAAATATGTAATTACCTGCTGCAGTTGTTACAGCTTTGGTATGTTCCTCGCAAACAATATATAAAAACTAACTTACAATTTTTTTTCTCTTTAACTTCTCAATTGAACAACATCTATTTAATGTCTGTGCGTCCGATGTCTAGATTGATAAATATATACCTTGTATATCATATAAAGTTATCTGTACAAATAATTTAAACAGGAAATATTAGTTTGTTTGCATTCAATAGGTTCCAAAACTACTAGATCGATTTTATAAATGTTATCACCTACATCATACGCGAGTTATAATTTATACGGACGAAGTATAGCTAGCTAAATGTAAACAGCTAGCTAATTAAACAAAATAGATAGCTATCTAAACAAAAGCAACTAGTATAGCTAGTTAAAACAGCTAGTTTAGGTAGCTAAAACAGTTAGGATAGCTAGCTAAATAAAAACAACTAGTATAGCTAGCTAAATGAAAACAGCTAGTATAGCAAAATGATTTCATAAATCTGTTACAAATGCTAGGACTTACCTAGGACTAACTTATACTAGTATCAGTTAGTATTAATTAAGGTAAACATCTTAGACAAAACCAATTGCTTTTAATGCAAGAATTTATATAGATAAAGCGGCATTACTTATAATGCATTCTAGGAGAAATTTAACAGTCTCGGTTAAAAGCCGACTTACTTATTGCTTATTTACTGATATTCCATATATGTTTAATGAAGGAATAGCGAAACGGAGCGAGGTAGGAGAGCACTTAAAATTAGAAATTTCAAATTGATTATATTTTAAAAGTCTCTCCAAATATATATTTCCGTATTAGATAACCTACGAGATTTAAATCGTGTCTTTAGATACTTACTATCTTAACCTACGAAATATATTTCCGTATCGTTTAGCAACTTAATATACTTAAGTATATTACAATATACTTAAGTATATAAACAGCAAATTCATATTTATATGAAAAATCTTAGCCATGTGTGTTGTGCCATGGCCCGTTAAGGCAAGGAATATAATCTTAAGATATAATATTATAGTATTTTCACTGTCTGTATCACATAAGACACACGGGCGTAAAAATCTTTATTATGGCGTATAGATTCGCTAAGAAAAGATTCAATGAACAATTCAATCGAAGGGGGTTAAACAGGGCTGCCACCATTTATTTGTATTTTTTTCTTATTAGATTAATTTTGGCGGTCGTGTAGTTTTTTTCCAAGGATATTTTAATTTTAGTACTCTGTATAATTGATGAAAGTATTAATTTTACGGATGACGTAGCCAAATGCTTTAGAGTGAGGCACTAATGGAAGCCAAGTTTTTAAAATCTAATTAAATCATCTCTCTTATTTCTTTTAATTTTATTTATTTATATTTTTTGCACTTAAATTTGTAGAAATGTCGGACTTAATGTAGTCAATCAGAGAACCAAGCACAATAAAATGTAAGGCGGCACATGGAAATATGTCAAGAATGATAATACTTACTAATATATATACCATTAGTTTCTTTAAAAACTATACCAAAATCGTGTGATATAATAAACATACCGATATAAATATATACATAAGTCAATTATACAAATAAAGTACATACATTATACATAACGATTTACAGGTCCTCAACACGCATTAGGAGAATAAAAATTATTTCGGACTGCTTAAAAGCAAACTTGTTTGGTGTTTTTGTATGCAGGGTGGAAGTGTGTTCCAGAGTCGTATTGCCTGAAGAGTGAAGGAGATGGATACTAAACCTGTTCCGTGAGAAGGAATGAGAAGAGTTTGTTTTCTACTTTAACGATTACGAGTATGTAATTTACCCAAATATTATTTTTTTATTACATGTTCAAGGTGATACGTGAACCCTAGATATGTCGGTTGTGCATTCCAAGCAAGGGCGTACAATACACAAGCTTCTAGTAAATGTAAAAACACCCAACTCGATTATTAGTATATTGATTGCGTCTAATTTTATCGCGAACCCATTATTTGTAATGGGTTTTAATTAACTAATTAATTCTAGTTCGACACCGCTAAGAACAAACGGGGCGGTTTCTTTGAACGCCTATACAGCCTGCCCTTGTGTCGTTACCTTTTATGAATTGTATATTTGTTATCATCAGTGTAATTATTTTCATGAAATTAAAGATAATTCTAATTTAATTATGATCACCGTCAATTAATACAATTACAACGGTTCAAAATAACAAATAAACTCCACGGCAATTACTTTTGTTAAGAATTTAAACAACCTCTTTAAATAAATAAAGTTAAGTATTAGGAAAGACACCTAATTTATTTTGACATAAATAAAATATTTCATTTCATCTCATTAGAGAAGGATTTAATCATGATTTAAAAAAATTATCAAGCACAAATATCGACAAAAAACGTTACCTTACATAAAAGTACCTTAAAATATATGTTTCATTCAATCTTAATCTTTAGGAAGTGCACTGGGAACAAACGAATTGCGCCGAAAATAACTAACCAATCGATTTATATAGACAATTTAACGTAGAAGCTAAGTGGAGAGGAACCGAGTAATTTAGTAATTGTATCCACTAACAACGAATTAAATAGTAATCAATAGAACTGGGGCCCCAGGCCATGAACATTTTTTATATCGTCCGATTTGGATACGACTTTGCTAAGAATTGAGATCCTGCTCTCTGCTAACATGATGTGTAAAATAAAAAAACTTTCTGTATTATTTCAGTTAATATTTATTTCGAACGATATTTATAGCGATTGAAAAACTTATGGAGACCTAAACGTTCAAAAACGCTATTTATAGCGATTGAACTTATGGAGACCTTAATCGGTCAAAAAAATTAAATACCCCAAAAATTTCATTGTAATAAAATACAAAACATTAATTCTAGTTTTGTGAATCAACAATTGAACAATTTTATTTAATCTAATATATCTTCTAGTAGATTTTATTTCGACTTTTTATGTTACTAATTAATATTTATAAAACCGATTTAATAATCGTACAGTATAAATATCTTGGATGGATTTGCGGGCCTATTGTTTTAAACGGTACTTACGCTTAAAGTTCGGGGCCTAATTCCGCGTGTTTAGGTTTATGTTTGTCTTTGCTAAATAAATTGCGCGAGTACCTATGGCTTTGTTATGTAACTGTTTGATACCTTTTTGTATCGTTTTTGTGCTATAATATTTTGATATACAGTCGGAATCGTTGGCTTTACTTGTATTCCAAAGCACAAAGTATTGCGAGTATGAGCGATTTTATAATTTCACAATCGTTGATCCCAATGATCACAAAATATTAAGCATCATTTTTAGCGATATTCAAACCATTTGTTGTTGGGCTGGATAAAATATTATTACGTCAAAGGAACCGGCACTTCTTTGCGGTATTGCCTTTTATAAAGTAGCAGGCTCATTATTAATTATTATCTAACAAATGCATGACGTCATCGCAACGCTTGTACAAGCAAGAGGTGCGACCTACTTCGTTGATTGTTTGATAATGAATCCATCGATTCTATGCTATTTCTGCACATTAACGCGATCACTCGCCGGTCTTCGTAATTAGCCGTTGATGTAATTTAAGGCTGTGGGCGATATATACAATAAATATACTAGTGGGGGGACTTGAATGGGTAATTGTTTTATATCCAATCTAATATGCATTATGCTGTTGGTTTGTGTAATTTAAATAAATGAGTTAAAAACATTATTTACTAATAATAATTTACATTTGAATTCAAATTAAGAATGTAATGCTTGTAGTCCAAAGACGTGCTAATTTTGTAAGTTTTTTTATGTAATTATGTGAAGGACGACCTCTTAAACTATGACATTAATATTTAAAAAAATGGACAGAAAAGTTTGTTATGAAATAAAAACAAAAAAAAATACCTTAAAAGAATTTTATAAACAATTTGATATCATCTAATACTGTTCATATAACCATTTAATGAAATTCTCGGCCGGTTATAGAAGTTAAAAGATATTATGGTGATCACGAACAACCAGCAGGAAACCAAGGACACCAAAGTCAAGATAGTCCGATTATATTATTAATACAGCCGGCAAATCTTAGGTACATGAGATAACCTGCAGATCGGGCTGGAAGAAGATGGGGGAGACAAATAAATGCTGGTGGAGAAGAGAAACGAAGTTAATAATATATATTTCGGTATGCGATCTACCTTTATACATGAAGAATTAGTCAGAACACGATTAATATTTTGCTACTAAACCTGACCACGCTTTTATTTAGCTAAGTTGGATAATTTCTGATTGAGATTAAAACTACATGACTTCAATTAAAAACGCAACATTACGCAGTAAGCAGGAAGTGCGGCTCACCTACGCCGAACGCCGCAAGCCTACTTTACGTAAATCAACTTTGGCGACTTAGTCGCCGACACATTCGTAACTCCAAACAGTGCATCCGACCGTGTCTCGCCGCAACTCTTTATAGTATTAGGCAAAATAACTCCTACGACACTGTTAGACTTCACTGGAGCTAATGGATCGCATCTATGCTTAGAACGGCCAACTTTTATGGATAAGTGGAATCGAGTTAGCGTCGACTCGAAAATAGCGCTAAGTTGCTGTTAGTTTTGCTTCAGCTGTGTCGTGATGGAAGTTAATTACTAGTTCCCTTAATTTAATTAGTTAGTGAATCGGAAATAAAAAGCGACATATTTTATTCACGCCAGCATTCGCGTTCGCGTAGAGAAACTACCTTTGTCTGTGAACTTTTCAGTTGAATGTATACGTGGCAAAGTAACAAAATGTGTTCAATTTAGGTACGTAATACTATTTCTGCATTTAAAATTAAATAAAGTGTAAACTGATTTAATTGTTAGGGTACTACATAAATAGGTATTGTCACTTACTCGGTGAGTCAGCAAGAAGATCCCCTTCGTCTTGTACAGGTGATTTGACGGAGCTAGGTGACAGCTTGACGGGTGGATGTGGCGAAGGCATAGGGCCGGAGCTGGCGCTGCCGGCGCTGCTGGCGGGGCCGGCATTTGCGCCATGTGATGTTGTGATTGTGATCTCTCCATTTGATGCAGCCAGCCTAAACCAGTAAGAAAATTATATTAATGCATTTACGATGTAAAAGTTAGAATGCAAGATTGGATGGATCATGATCAACTTGATCTACAATAGGATTTCTTTTATTAGTGCTTATTTAAATATGACAGGTCTTCAGTCAGGATAGATCTTATCATTAATAAAAGAATATGTAAAAATAGTTTAATTTAGTTAGAATGTAATTAATATAATCAAAAAATTTTCCTTATATGAATATACAAAATAGTATGCATTAATGTTATATAAGTATATTTATATATACAAAAAAGCGATTAAAAGAATTAATTTGAGGAAAACACAATTACAAATGAAAATTATCTTTGCCAGAATTTAATATATAGATTCGGCATTTGTGACCGCACACGCATTTAGATCACGACCTTGCATAATAATGTAACGTTTGGAACAAACTATTGCTCTTATTTTGAATAACAGCTTTGATTTTTGTGTTTTGAATTTGGAAAGTACAACTGAACCAATGAAATAAACAAAGCTTCCCTTTCACGATAAAATAGAGTCCACAAACGTTAAAAGATAAATAACTTATTTATATATATAATTTAGTTACATTTGTTATTCGTCGGCCTGAGTCAGATAAGTATACAAACTTAAATTTAACTAAATATATTAGCATAGACTTCAGTTTTTTTGTTACTTTGAAACGCTATGTCAACGATTAGTGTAATTTAGTGTTTAAAGGTATGAGTAAAATATTTTCTCCGGGGTTTAACCAAGGAGTTTTAAATATCATAATAAAAATAGATAATAAATCAAGGACAATTCTCGTGTGCTTGTCATATTTATACTCACTTTATATATAGAGGAAAGATTTGATTAAATGCATCGAATATGCTCCTAAATTACTAAATCCGGACTTATTTTATAAATTCTTTTACATCTACTGTTACATCACTGACATAGGCTATAATAAACGCAAGGGGAGTAATTGTGAACCAAAAGATGTCACGATGCCGCGATGTCCTACTGTTTCTAGTTAAAAATATTAAAAAAGGCAGTCTACACGACACTTACGACTGCAACAATAGTTGTGCGTCATATATGACTGTTTAGCTAAATTGAACTTTACCGTTAAGAAAACAAAGTTGATGATATGACGACAGAAACAAATGAGCCGTGCTTCATTAAGTGTGCCGCAGCATTAGCGGTAATTGCCGGCTAATTAGGGCCTCATCCGTTGCAACAATACACACATACGCAGTTTTATTTATAGTACACACGGGAAAAGATGTTAAGGATAAATTAAAAGATAAGCAAGTTTGCTTTATCACAGATATTATAATATTATACGCGTATATTAGTAACAGTATCCATTCTTTTTAATAGATAAATGAAATAGTCTGTTTGCAAAATTAAACCTTTTTTAACTAGTGTGAATTTAAAAGTACACGCCAGTTCCATGATTGTTCTTTCTGTGATCTATAGGAAAATCTATAATAATATTATGAAGAGGTTAGATTTGTTTATTTTTATCAAATAGGCTTTTTAACTACTGTATACATATTAAAAACACTATATGTGGGTGCCACAGGCTATAAAATTAAACAGAAAAAGACATGATAAAACAGCTAGTTGAATATTTTCAGATTTTAATTTTATGTCGTCATCATTCTATAAATTTGTCTTGTAGAATATTGTAGCTATTATTAACTTATGAACTAAATAATTATTTTCATTTTATTTACTATTTTTTTTAAATTCTATAGTGTTTAGTGCTAAATTTATATCTTAAAACATAAACGATTTGTATAACTAACGTTTTTTAAACATCTAAACGTTCACTCTGTGAGTTTGACGATGTATTTATAACCGATTATGTTGTCGCATGACGTATATCAATTGCGAATACTGAACGCCACATATTATGAAAAGACGACAATTACCTTTCCTCACCCGAACTTAACCGACGAATCTTAAACTTTAAATTAAAAAAAAAAACGCGTTGAGACCCAAAACGACCACTGTGGTTCATTTGCATGTAAATTGAAGTTAATCAATTTAATAAGCGCCCTTCTGCCGTCTGTACAAATAAATACTGTACGGTTATTTAGTGGTTGTACAGTGGTCCATACCAGCACAGAACACGTGCAAAATTAAATAAAGAAAAAATATTTTATTGTTGAAACCACATTTTATATGTTGTTGTTTCTGTTGCTCTTATAAACTTGTTGTTGTAACCGTTTGTTGCTAAATAAAAATAAAAAATTTATGACACATGATTCATTTGATACTAACACTGAATTCAACTCAGTATAAGTAACTAACAGGGCCCGCTGCACTTATGTTCTGTTGAATCCACTCATGATATCACGGAGTACAAATATTACAGATAAAAAAGAAAACTTTTTTTAAAATAAGACACGGCTGAGAGGGCTCAATTCAAAATTTCTTAATTTAAAAAAAAAAGTAAAGGCAATAATTTCACCAATCCTGATAAAAAAAAGGAAAAAAAAATGCGCAGGCTTTAATAAACCTTTTGAAAAAAAAACTAATAGATTTAAAAAAAATAATAAGAAGTTAAGATTTTTTGCAGACTCTACACCATTTCAAAATGTTTACAACACGATAATTATTATTTTTTAAATTATTGGCTCTTTGGCAATTTTAATTACCTTATTTTATAGCCATTGTGGCCTTTTAATTAAGGGCGTCTCTACACGATAGAGATACTATAGAGGTACTATAATGACTATTTCTCTACATAACACGTGGACTGAGATTTGCATGTTTTGGAGTTGCCGAGTAAAAGACTTTAACGCGAGTATTGATCGATTTTCAAATTTTTTAAGTAACTTATTTTCTGTTTCTGCTTAAGCGTTTAAGTATTTTTTTTTTAAATTAACACAAAAGGAGACAAATATATTAATTTTATTGTAATCGTTTGTATTAGCAGGTTCACGAATTACATCATGAATAATTCAAACATGAAATTCGTAACTATTTATTGAAATTAAATAATCGAAAACTATAATTATAAAAAGTTTAAATAATTCTAATGAACTTGTTATATTTATATATCTAACAAATAGTTTTGAAGTCTTTTCCGAATAAAATTTGTTTCAAGTTAAAACATTATTAATTTCGCAACTACAGTGAAACCAATAATTAACTATTATGATTTTAGCTTGTACGTATAGAATATTTTTTATATAACTTTGCGATATTATAAAGTAATAAAATTTTCTAAGTTTTTTGTTTGTTTGTAGTAGGTAATTTTCGAAAATAATGATAAATGCTACACCATACGCTGATGACATAGGCTATAATTTTAGGAAAAAGCTAGCATAATATATGGACAAAGGGCATGAAATCATGACACCTTTACAGGTTAGATATTAAATCAATGAAACTAAACAGCATTTGAAATATTTATGATACGTGAAATTCTAAAATAAAAAGCAAGGAAACCCTACTAATTACTCGACTCAATAAATAGCTATTGCATTTATATTTTTAATAAATTCTAGTTTGCAACTTAATGTTAAATTTATTTAAAAAATCGAAATTGGACTTATCTACGCAGAGTAATTAAGTATATTAACAAAATACTTATGTAGTTTTTATACGTCACAAAACAAATTCTTGATATTTCAGATCAACGCCTTAAGTAATACTGAACGTAAAATTGAACAGTAGTAATTATTATTAAAAGAAACCGCTTTGAGGTATGATAATGTGATACGAACGTTTTATGGAGGTTAATAATTGGTTTATAATAAACACAATATCACTTCATAAAGTGTTGTCTGAATAAAACCGAATGACAGCATGTGTTTTGAGATTTTAATGGTCTTTGTGGCGAATACTATCGAACGTTCGTAGGAAAATTTTAAACGCAGTTCTGTTGAAGGTTTAACGTCAATAATATATTGTATTTTCTTGTTTTATTTCAACACAAAGTTATAAATTTATCATTTATTTAAATGCTAAGTTAATAATAAACCTATTGTGTAAGTATGTACTGTACCAACATCGACTGGATTTTATAAGATAAATATATCTGACGATAACCTTCGCTTTGTTCTATAACGACTAATTACATGTACCAACTATGTCCTACAGATTTTGAAAATTGTATTCATTATTGTTAAAATATCTACTATTATGGTAATGACATTTTTTATGTAAATGTCATTACTAAATGATAAAGAGCTGGTAAGTTTCTTTCGCTTGTTCTTCTTGTCAGCTAAGACTTCCTGCACGAGTGATAGGGGAAAAAATTTGGACGGTTCAAAAGTGCATCTAATAAGCTTACTTGAATAAAGACATTAAAAAATATAGATTTCAATTGTAATATTTTTTTTATGGTTAATCATATTGTTCACTCGCATATGCATAAGTAACTTCTGTTGTTATAATAATACGAAGTGAGAAGGTTTTTACATTTAGTTGAAAAAAAAAATACAAATCTGTATCGGTGACATTTTTGTTTCTTTTTCAAATAATACTCGATCGTAATATTATGAGTATTATATTAAATATTGATGAAATATTGTATTCACTAGAACGACTGAACCTTTACCAATATAAAGTCAAATTTACCAAAAACTTCATATGTAGAAAACGGGATAGAAATATATTCGGTGTTTTATTTTTAATTCCAGTCGGACAGAAAGACAGTGGTAGAGATTTTCTAATATGAAATTTATTTATAATTCTGATTTATACTAATCTAAGTAACATTTCTTACAAATGTTGTAAGTTTCACAAGGACAAATCTAATTAATAATGACGCAATATATTGAAAACCCGTCTAAGTACATATTTGTAACGTTGACTCAATAATAAGGGGTAATGATGACTTGAGAGTTATTATGATAATCGTAATTCACTCGATAATAACACATTCTGTACTTTAATAAATGGAGCAAGTAGTTTTAAACTCTATTAAACAGCTAATTAAGGTGCTATTTAAATTAACTTCTAATTGTTCATAATGTACCTTGAGAAATTAACATAAAATGT